AACAGGATCTGAGATTATCTGGCCTCTTGCTGAGCGGACTGTGAGGAGTGAGGAGGGCTTGGAATTCAGCTTTCTCAGGGCCTGATAGGCAGGACGAAGGTCATGTTCTAGAAAAATGTTTTCGACTTCCTTTGCAAGATTCCTGATAAACTGTTCCTTGACCCTTCTCAGCAGTGACCTAGTCCTGCGCACCAGAGAACAGTGCAAGTTGTGATCCTCTGACAATTGAGCCGCACGACAAGCATCTGTGGCTTCCAGTATTTTCTGCGAGGTGAAATTCTGTCTTACTCTTGGCATTCACCAATCGACTCTTGGGCCGCATCGAGCATGTGTGTGTGTGTGTGTGTATGTGTGTGTGTGTGTGTGTGTGTGTGTGTGTGTGTGTGTGTGTGTGTGTGTGTGTGTGTGTGTGTGTGTGTGTGTGTGTGTGTGTGTGTGTGTATATATATGTATATATATATATATATATATATATATATATATATATATATATATATATATATATATACATATATACATATATATATGTATGCTGACAAAACCAACCCAATTAATAAAATAATTAAAACAAATACATATGTTTTTTATACAAAAGCGTTTTGTATTTAATATCTAAAATTAATGGTTTTGCTATCCTGCGTGTTTCCTTTTTGATATTGATTATACCATTACTGATTTCCACCTAACTGTTGATAATATTCCTCCAATGAATATCAACAAAATATTCCTCCAGTGAATATCAACAGAATATTCCTCAGCTATCGTGTTACCTAAATTCCCCGCCAGCAAATGCTTATCGCAGTTTACTCGTGGCTAACGCGTGGGCTCTGATTCCCCAGAAGGAGGAGACTCAGGACGACCTGGAGATCATCAACGACGCCATTCACATGAGCGGCGGCGACGAAGGTAAGGCACCTAGGGGCTTCGTGGAGAGGGCCGTATGGCCGTGCTTAATCCGTCTTCTGAGACAGCATATTTAGGATTGAAAGAATTGAAAAAAAAGAATAAAAAGGTAAAATAAAAAGGCACAACAATGATTCGACATTATTCATTTTCATTTCTACCTGTTTCACAACTGCCACAGTAAACTCTGGTCATTGTAACAGCTGGTGTCAGGCACTCCGCAGGTGTTGTTTCTAAATCCATCCGTTTGCAAGTGCGTTTTTATTAGTCTTCACTCGAGCGTACTCTTCCTTTGCCTGAGTATTGTAGGCCTATTATGATTTATTTTTTTAATTTATTTTTCAGACTGCATTATTCCCTTTATCTCTTTACATACATTATCGATGTATGTTTGCTTTTTCTTGATTAAAATGACAGATGAGGACGACGAAGAAGAAATGACGGACAGAGAGCGGGGCGAGAAGATCATCGACATTCTCATTCCCCCAAGCGAATGGGAGGAGGACGGAGAAAGGTGGATACAAAGGGTGGGTGAGAAAAACTGAATCACTCTTTGCCATCCCTGAAATGTTATCTTGCTGACCCCAAATATCCCGATTCATATAATGAAATAGACGGAAGTAGTGTCTGACACGAAGGTACTCAAAAGAAGGAAAATGACATTACACGTCCTTTTCTGGTACTTTTATCGTCTTTTCATTACTGGATAATATACTAATGTTGTTGAATATTATTGTCGAATAATGCTTTGCAGGTATCACGGGCACCTCCCAGCAGAACAGCTGTTATACAACTGTGGGAACAGCTCGACCTCAAAATCCGAGAGCAGCAGGCAAGAACGCGGGGCATTTGTGCCATTCGTGGCGCCCTCTATCGAGAATGCTTCGGTAGGTATCAGGAAATTGTGAGACAGTAGCACGAAATAATGATGTGCAGTAGCCAAATATGTTGTCAAATATGTGATTATGAATTAAACCAACGCTTTGTACATTGTATACGGCACGTGGTGTATTCAGACTTATTGAATGACACTGATTTCAAACTCTTGGAGATTATGAAAAAAATGGACTCCAAATAATCAGAACTACCGTCATAACACTGATGCCTTATCGCACAAAATGCCTTTGTTTAGGGGGATGCCAAAGGCCTGTGAAGTCGTTTCGTAGGATCCGTCTTGCCCGTCTCCGCGACTGCGGATGCTCTCCAGCCGTGTCTTGCTAGAAGCGTTCAAGGTCTAAATACGCCTCCAGAGAGGCCTTGGAGGCGTGGGTGGTTGGTCGGCAACCCTTTCCGCTCGGCGACCTTCTGATTCGAAATCGGCCTCTAAGTCAGAAGGGCCTTGGAATCCCAATTCCCGCTGCGTAGAGAGATCCCCAACGAGCCCAAGACTGTCGTTGGCCCCGAAGTCTTGCCGTCCCCGAAAGGCCTCCGCTCCCTCGGGATCGATGTGCCCTCCCCCCCTTCCCCCGCGACGCTGACTCCTGCCATCGGCTGTGGCCGACCCAGCCGGTCCCTTTTCGCGCTTCCAGGCTCTCATGCCACGGACTTTGAATCTTGTCGTTGTTTAGAATTCATCACTCACTAGCTATCTTCCTCA